TTTTTTTTTTTTTTGCAGTTTTTGGCCGGGTCTGGGTTTGAACCCACCACCTCCGGCATGCCGGCGTCCTACTCCTTTGAGCCACAGGCGCCACCCCTGTGTCCCATTTGTTTTTAATCAGGAAGTTTCCTTAAAATGTCCTGGAAGTGACACTTTCTCATCATGAGGGAAAAGAATGTGATTGTTCAGAGCAATGCGTGCCCTAAAGCCTCCTTCAGTTTTTGCAGAGAGAAAAGGTAATAAGGGGGACAAAAGACATAGGATGCTTAAAAATATCACTGTCATGTTTTTTAGCTTCAGATTCTTAAGTCCAAAATTTACAATGTCACTTTCTTTCTCCGGCAATTATCAGGAGCAGAGTCTTATGGCGCATATGGGCATTGACTCAGGAACCGCTAACATTTTTGATGAAGTAGACAAGAGTGACTTTAAGACTGACTTTGGTTCGGAGTTTCCAGTAGGTTCAACCTTCGATTCTTACTGGCAGTGAACCCACTCAGTCCCATCTCACCTTGTCTCCATCGTTCTGTTTCTTGCCATGTACTAGAATGACTCTTGTGATACACATCTGCCTAAAGTAGGATATAATTATCATCTCATGCGGTTGTCTCACTTTAATCCACCCTCAGTTTGATCACATGACTATTTGTGATACTCTGTCCTCCCCGTTGGTGTCTGGTTCTTGTGTTCGTTTTGAGACCATCATCTCTCAGGAATGCCTGGATGTATTTTCATCATGACATTGATGTTGATTTGCTATGTGTGTCTTCAGCTTCTAAATAATGGCTCTGGGCTTGTTACACATCCTTCTACTTTATTTCATTATAATTAGAATGTGCTTGACCTTGTGAATCTCAATGTATAACTTCCTATGAAGATTATTTGGGGTGCAGACTGAAACCTTTATGTCTGTTAGTCATTAGTGTTATTAGCTATTATTTTTATGTTTTTAGAGGAGATGTAGCCCTATGGGGAAAATGCTTACCCACAAGTCTGCTTTTATCTTTGGTTCTCTGGGTAGTACAGATAAACTTCTTGCATGTGTAGTTGTTATTTTTTCATCTTCTAAATGGGAGGTGATACTGACAGATTCCTACTGATCTGAATATGTATGAATTTTGTGGAAATGAACAAAATGTCTTTATATAGTTTGCTCAGTAGAAATTTTATGAGCACCTTGTGTGTGTGTTCTAGGCTGTAGCTCTGTGGTTTGGTTTTGCTCTCTCTCATTTACAATCTCCAACATTTGTTTTACATGACTTAGATTTTTTCTCCCATGCCTGGAGAGTCCTGTGAAAACGCCAACACTTCCCTGGGCAGAAGAATGTCGGTGAACGGTGAGAAGTTGGTGAAGAGGGAAAAGCCAAGGGAATTGATTTTTCCATCTAATTACAACCTCCTCCGTCACTTGCAGTATGCAACTCATTTTCCCATCCCTCTGGTAAGTCATGGCTTCAGTTAATTTACACCTGGTTATTTTACTAGAATGCCATTAACTATTGAGTGTGCGATTGTTCAGTTAGTTTCTTAACTAATACGTAACGGTGGCTGACATGTTTTGGCATCTGCTGCTAATTTTGCTGTAATTCTGATCTTAGAGCCTACGTGCTGTTGGTGTCTAAATTTGTGGCGTGATGTTACTGGCTGTTTTGATTTAGAAAACATAGTTTTCTGCATTAGTAGAAATGACTAATGAGCATTTGAGTCACTGCAAGTGATGTCTCAATGCGTTTTCCTGCTTCACATTGAAAGTAACTTTACCCAGTAGTTTTTACATGCGACACTGTGTTATGGTGGACACTTTTGGTATTATTGGATAAGTAAGAAACCTGAGGCAGGGAGGAGAAGAGAGGCAAACATCCATAAGTGAGGAGGACTCAAGTGCAGTAATGAGTAAAAACCCAAATGCCTGCTGGAAGGTGAACCGTTTGACCTTCCTGAATCTCTTCCCCGCTCAAAGAATGAGTATTGGAGGGAAAGAGCATTTGGTTGAGAAATCGGGTATGATTTCATACAAGAGCTTATGTATGAAGTAGATTTGGAGTTGGGCCCTTCGCATTTAAGAACTGGATAGCAAATGAGAAAGGCTTGACTGGAAATTTAGTGTTTTAAGTTTTAACAAGAGTTAAATGCTTTATTCTAAAGGGAAACAAACTTAGTTTTTTGATATGGGTAATGATCTTGGGGCAAAATCTTGAAAACATATGTTTATTATGTTTTCAATTTACCCATCTGCACCCTGATGAAAACATTCTCTATTTTGGGGTTCACTAACTTTTTCCCTGGAATTTTATGTTAAGTGCAATTTCAGTGAGTCAGTTTTTCCATTGAATGCTTCTTTTATCTATCAAAAATGTAATTGTGGGCATATTATGTTATTTCCTTAGAAGTTTTGGTCTGCAAAGTAAAAATTTTGTGTTTTTTTTTTTTTAATTTTACAACATCCTCTTTGAGATTGCTTTAAAAAATTATGAAACCCATGATATTTCTCTTATTACAATTAAAAATCCTTTTGTTGCTGATGTCCAGAGCTATGTTACAACTTGCTGAGATTCCTCCTTGTTTGTCACTGCCTGAATGTGTCTGTGGTTTTCAGCTGTTACCTGTAGATGTCACCCATCTTTTAATGTAAAGAATGATCTCTCAGTTTATTTAGGGAAGCAGAGAGAGTGACCATATATTTTTCTTGGTGTCTGGGATTTGTTTTTAAAATACTCAGAGTTACAAAAGAGAAGAATTTATTTAATAGCCATGTACGAATATTAACTTTTTATTTATAACAAATGTACTGTGGTTCTTGTAAGGCATTACATTAGGGGGACTGTGGACACTCAGCGTACCATCTTGCAGCTTTTCTGTGGATCTGAAATTACTCCAAAATAAAATGTTTATTTAAAAAAGGATGGAAGGCTTGACCCCTGTAGCTCAGTGAGTTGGGTGCCGGCCATACACACCGAAGCTGGCAGGTTCAAGCCCAGCCCAGGCCTGCTAAACAAAAATGACAACTGTGAACAAAAAACAGCAGGCATTGTGGCTGGCGCCTGTGTCCCAGCTATTCAGGAAGCTGAGACAGGAGAATTGCTTAAGCCCAAGAGTTTGAGGTTGCTGTGAGCTGTGACGCCACGACACTCTACTGAGGGCAATATAGTGAGACTCAGGCTCAAAAAAAATAAAAATAAAAAAATAAATAAAAAAGGACAGAAGTAAATAAAATAAATATGGAAAAATGTTGGAAATGGTTGAAACTGGTTGAGAGTTATTTGCTTCTCAGATAACCCTGAGAGCTGTGTGGGTCTCCCTCCTCCACACGTCTGGGTGTCCGAGAGGCACTGAGCTTCAGCTTCTCTATTCTGTGGTTCGTCTGTCCGTGGCCTCATAGTCCATCCCAGCAGTTACCATTCTCAGGACTGTCTCCTTCCTTAGAAGAAAGAGCTTCAGTGGTTTGTAGTGACCAGGTCTCATGATGAATCGTGATAAAATTCAAGTATAACGCGATCAGGAAAGAACGGCCAGACAGTTGACATTGTAGGATATAATCTTTCAATAGCCTTCGACCACCAGTTTCCCTACACCCCCTTTACCATCAGGGCCATCAGTAAGGGAAACAAAAAGCCATGTTTGCATAATAATGTAACACTGGCATTAGGAATACTATCGGGAGTCAGGTTTTTCCCTTAATAAAAAGGGACAATCTGATGAACCTATATCATGCAGATGAGCAGAATATAAGAATGTGGGGGAAAAATGTTTTTATTTCTCCCTGTCCCTAATAATGTAGTGTTAGTGAGTGAAGTCCAGGGAGAGAGGACTAAAGGGGACTTGACCAAAGATTCAGAAATTTAACTAGTTTCATGTATTCTATTATATGTATGCCTTGATGTGCCCATCAGTAAACCAGCTTTTTTAGATCACGAGCAAACACAGGTTCTAGTAGATAGGCCTTCCACCAGCCTATCACTGAGGCAAGTCCTTTGTGCTGTGTCAGATGTGTGATGCTGCTGGGAGTTTCTGTCATTCCTAGTAGCTGGCTAGATTTGGTGTGTACTTAGCCTGTTCCCTGTTTTATAACAGCCGCTTTGTGTGTTTTCTCCTTTGTTATCCGCCGTCTTACTCAGAGTGTATTTGTGAATTGTAGAAAGGAGTTTCGGCTC